TTTTTGTCATTTTTGGTAAAAAGTGATATTTTCGACTTCTTGTTAAAAACTGCAAGTTCAATTGCTTTGATATTACATATATAGGTACTACATGTGGACCTCTCTCAGATTTGTTCATTTTGTAATGATATCTTTAATTATCTAATTTTGGTGAATATTTTTGTCATTTTTGGTAAAAAATGATATTTTCGACTTCTTGTTAAAAACCACAATCATTTATGGTGAAAAATTATATTTTTGAATTCTTGTTGAAAACAGCACGTCCCATTGCATTGATACTATGCATATTGTTCATTTTCTAATGATATCTTCTGTTCTTTAATTGAAATGTGCATTGCTAACAGCGGAGCTATCTCAGCCGAGAGGCTGCTTGTTAAACTTACAAGCAAGGTAATCATTATGAAGCAGATAAAATCCTATGTACATTTCATTCCTGTTTCTAAAGTTTAAAAACTGTTAGTTTGAGCAGAGGATTCACCTGTGCACGCACAGCAATTGATTATTATACTACAGTAACAATGCATGTTACATGTATAAACACAGAGGCTCATGGGTAGACGCTTGTTTGTAAACAATGACATGCCATCTACATGTGCTTGTGATGTCTCCCCCACTGTCTTTGACTTGTTTTTATCTCCTTGCAGGGTTGGGTGTATAACGTAGTTCCATGGACAGCCAGCATTCCAGCCAAAATATCAGTTGGCTTTTTAGCGGATAAGTTAATATTAAAATATTCAGTAACCACAATCAGAAAATTAATGCAAGTAAGTTGATCTTTTGCATATTGAGTGGAAACCACGCCCACATGCTGTTTGTCATTCACTTTTTCACCACCAGACATTCTTGTCCAAATTTTTCAGCACTTTTTTCTTATATACTTCAATATTTCTGGAAATGAACCCTAATTATGGAGTCAACAGACAAAATTTCAGTCAATTTTCAGCTTTTATTTTTGTCCTAAACTTCTGAGGGAAAGTGCAGACTAGAAACGGGTCTACCGGGTATTTTGTTAATTTGTGATGAAACTGGTGGTGAAAAGTTTAACTTGACAGTGAAAGTGCGCATCCTTTCTTTCAAGGCCTGTTGGTGATTTCATGATTGCGTCTGTATTGCCGCCAGTGTTGGTGAACATGCTATCAATGTGACTACAAAATCAATTATTGATTGATCTCAAAAACTACACAATTCAATGTCCCAGTATTGTAAACCCAATCATGTTTAAATTAAGCTGAATTGAGTAATTAAAGGGTAGTGGTCGTCATGCTGCAAAAATGCTACATTTGTGTTGATAAACACTGATTTTCCCACAATCCAATGTGCTCTTCTAACGGAAGTGGAAAGTACTGTAGTAGTAGTCCAGAGTTTTAAATCCGGTTTGGTCCCCGAAGACGAGGGTGGCCGGATTCACCTTAAACTAGTGGCAATCGCTCTTACCCCCTCCCTCCACTTTGCACGATTTAAAGCATCCCTCATCCTCATCCCAACCTTCCCACTCTCCTCCTCCACTTGCATCTTCCACGTCTTCTTTGGCCTTCCCCTTTTCCTCTAAATCACCTCCTCTAAATCAAGGGCCCTTCTTAATACATGCCCATCCTCCCTCCTCAGCACATGCCCATACCAACGTACCCCATTTGCCTTCGCCAACCGATCTACCGCTGCCTTCAAACCCAACATCTGCATCAAGTCTTCAGTTAACTTTCTGTCCATCAACTTCACCCCACACATCACTCTCACCATCGCTCTCTCTGTCCTCCTTAAAATACCCAGTTCATTTTCACTCAAACACCATGTCTCGCTCCCATACAGCAATGCTGATCTCACACAACTCTTATAAACTATTCCTTTCATCTCCAAGGGAAATCTCTTCCCATATAGTAGCTCTCCACATTCCCTAAACTTCACCCAAGCAAACCTTGCTCTAGCTGTCACAGCTGCCTCACACCCACCACCCACACTTACCTCATCTCCCAGGTATGTAAACTCCTTCACTGACTCAACCTCATCACACAACTTTTCTTCCTGTTCCACCACCCTTCCAACTCCATTCTTACATCTTCCAAACGCAAAATCCCTAGTCAATTATTGCATTAATTAGTTCCCATTCAGACGCAGTATCTGTATCTTAAAAATGCCTGGACCAATCAAACTTCACACATACATCATACATGATATTTTACATATGCACGTCAATTTGTTTCACGATCTGATTCAAGATGGCCAAATGGCGGCCATTTTTGTGGTAAAAATCATCATAATCAAGCATTTCTCGGCTGTTTACAGATGGATTTTATTAAAACTTCGTAAATACATTAGACATTATAGGACCTTGATGCAAATAATTTTGTTTTTCAGATAAGATTCAAAATGGCTGACTGGTGGCCATTTTGTTTTAATGAATGTGGTTATCGTGCCATATCTCTGACTTGCTTTGACTGATTATGTTCAAATTTTAAATATTCATTATACATCATGTCGTAGATAGACAGATATATTGGTTTGATGATCCTATTCAAAATGGCCAAATGGTGGCCATTTTTGTGCTAAAAAATCATCAAATATCAAGCATTTCTGGCATTTATGGATGGATTTCGTTCAAACTTGGTACATACATTAGACATTACGGGTTCCTGATGCACGTCATTTTTCAGATTGGATTCAAAATGGCTGACTGGCGGCCATTTTGTTTTAATGATTTGGCTTCTAGAGCCATATCTCTGAAATGCTTTGACTGATTATATTCAAATTTTATATATTCGTTATACATCACGTTTTATATATACATGTATTCAAAATGGCTAATTTTGAATGCTGTTCCAGAGCAGTATCTCTCAATATGGACAAGTACTTGTTTGACGATCAGATACCAATGTCCGTTTGTCCGGAGTCCTGTCTCAGAATCCTTTGGACCGATTCCGTTCATTCTTTGCATGTGCCTAGTACTTTATGTGGGACATATGCACATGCAGTGGTTCAGCGATTCGATTCAAAATGGCCGACTGGCAGCCATCTTGTTTTTTGAAAATGTTGTATTTTGGACATGCTTTGTCAGTTGTCATTCAAACTTGATACATAGATTATACATGTTAGGATGCATGTACATGACAATTTGTTTCAAAATCTGGTCAAGGATGGCCGATTGACAGCCGTCTGACTTTTTGGCCTTACTACTGCATTTCCACAATTTATGTACCATTTTCATTCGTATTTGGCACATACATCATACATATCAGTGTGTTTCATAATCAGATCAAAGATGGCTGAATAACGGCTGTTTTTATTTTGGCCATATTACTATGACACAAAACACGTGTTTTGATGTAAATAAACAATCTGTTGTATACGCCACTTGGAACTCAAGTTTCAAGGACACGCTCGCGACAACCCCTCCGCTTTAATATGACGAGCACAAAGAGAACTTAACGACTTGTTAATTTATAACTTAAGAGTCTTTAAAGTTTCTTAACAAATATTTCACTTGGGTAAGTAGCCTAATTTGCATATTGCAACAACGTATTCTGTCGCCAAAAAAAAACTGGTAATATTTCATTGGAAGGTCTGCAAATTTTAGTATATAATGATTTATTATATCATGATTGATGTTATTTGAGCAGATACAGTGATAAAAACATCAAATGTATGTGAGTATGGGGAGTACGCATGCGCAGTACGCATGCGCAGTTACAAGAGTGATGCGGCCATTTTTTCAGTTTGACAAAAAGGCTTTCCGATTTTCATGAACGCAAGTTCAATTTCACTTTGTGCGTCATATTCAATCAATAGACAAAATCGAAGACAGATGCCGTACAACTTTCTGCCAATCTTGATTCGTAAGTGTTCTGGTTTACATGTACAGTGTTCTCCTCGGGCCTGCGTCGCTCAGACAATAGCCGCATAATTTTCGTTTCGCCTGCGATTCTGCAGTGTTCTCATCAGGTCTTTTAAGGGTATCGGGTCTGATACTGTTCTTTCTTTCCACGATACTGTTTCCCTCAAGCTGGGCCGTTTCCAGGCCATTGTTTTGCAATGATGAATCAGAACAGAATAATTCGTGTGAACTGATCAATCCTAACTTATTATCTGGATACTCGTATTCACCTGCGGATACTTCGGCCTACTTTCAAGCATGAATATAGAAGGAAATCAACGATTTTTTCCCAGTATCGTTCCAGACTTTGCAAGAAATTTATATAATAATCACAGTGATCACTACTATTGATTGGGTTTCACTACTATTGTTTGCGCATGGTTTCCATCTTACTCAAATAAAACGAAGCAGTTGATTCCTATTTTACTTAGTGTTTATTCTTGGTTGATATTTTTAAACAAAAATGCACTCATTAAACAAATAGTAAATATGCGAGTTTTTTGTTTTTGTTTCAATCGTTGGCATATGTATCGGCTGGATCACTTACTTTCAAGGGCTCAAAGTCTGGACGAACATTAAACTACGATTAAACTAGTCTGTTGTTACTTTACATGTTCACGTAGGTTTAATTTAGCAGATTTTACTTGTCAGCGAAAATAGCGAAATTTGCCCATTGCGTCAGGAAGATCTATCCCAATTTGCTGCACTGAGGTTACTTGCGGTTTTTACTACTCCATCGCTAATGACACTAATTACCAATAACTAAAAAAAATAAGTGAAATTAAGTTGCATTGGGAAAAAAACGCATAAGAAAATCAAAGCAAAAATTATTCAACCGCAGATGAGACAAACCCCGACCTCTAGAAATACCTCATTCATAGAGTGCCTCATTAGTGCCCTTTGTTTACAAGTATAGTGTCCTTGCATGTTTTTCAAAATGCCCATATCAAAATCATGTGTTTCCATATACAGTATGTCATAGATTCTCAGACATCTTGATCAATTTTATTGATGGATTGACCTACATGCAATTACATTCACTTATTAGGCAAAGCCTATACCTTTATAATGCATGCTCTGATCACACGGGAGCTATTTACAGTTTAATTTTGATTCTTTCTTTTTTTTTCGGTAGGAAATATTTCTTGGCATGTTGCAACCAATGTCGAATCACATTCAAGCAATTCAGCAGTACCGTGAAAAGAACAGAGCCAGTAAAATGTTTAACCATCTTTCTGCTGTCAGTGAAGGGATACCGGCTCTTGGATGGGTTGCCACGGTATGTTGTAAAAAAACAGTTATGTCATTTTCTGAGTAACCTAATCGATATATGACTGCATACAATCTAGGTTAAACCAGTGTAGTCAATATTGTATGGTGTACAATCTACATAAATCCTAGTCTGTATTGTATGTTAATCCAATTGCACACACATTGGCTGATTGGTAAATGAATGCAATACAGTATGTCATGTGACAGTTTAATTCTAACCAATGATAACATTGATTTCGTCATGGCCATCATCAGACTATTGAGTATTGACGCCTCTGTAACCATGTCACATGACAGGCAGATCTCTCCAACATTTGAAGTGAGTGTTTGATTCTTCTTATCTCCTTAGGCACCTAAACCAGCTCCATATGTAAAAGAAATGTCTGATGCTGCACAGTTCTACACTAATAGGGTATTGAAAGATTATAAAGAGACGTGAGTGTGCATGTGTCAACCTTTCATTCCA